ATATCATACTTTATAAAGATAATAACAAATATAACACAACATATGTATCATTATCATACTTTATAAGGATAATAACAAATATAACACAACATATGTATCATTATCATACTTTATAAGGATAATAACAAATATAACACAACATTTTACCAACGAATAGTGGGATTGACCGTCACATTATAACGCCCCCACGGCTGAAAGGGCTAGCATGTTTTGGTGGTATGCGGATTCGAACCCGCGACCCTCAGATTGTGAGTCGAGCGCCTTATCCACCTGGCCATGCCGGGCCTTTTCATACCTTTAGTGAACTGTGTTTACTAAGTATGTATCACAGACCCTTGTTCATAGCAAACAACGAATTATTTCAACGTTTAATAAGAACATACTAGTCACACATGCACTTATTCACGTGCTAATAATATATAATGATAAATTATAATAGCTGTATACTAATTTATCTAAAAACATGTTAGGCTGACAGAAAATAAAGAATTTTACTGAGGTTCCAATTTTACTTTATAATTTAATTCACTGTTAAAACATTAATGATTTAATCACATGCTGTTGGCCAGTCTGTTGAATTTGGTAAAGAAAGAAGACATTATTCATGACCTTTCTTAATTTTTTTAGACTTAACTATGACCTATATGTGAATATATAAAAAAATAAATGTCAGATACTTTTCCACATAGAATTCTTTGGTAAAGTTTACAAAAAAATTCTTACAACCTTTACAGGTACTTACGACGTAGCGATATCGAGTGGAGCAATCGGACAAGGACATATTCCATACGATGCTTTTTATGAAATTATTGCAATGGTAAAACAAGGTACGTGTTAATACTCTTTTGTACGAAGTTAACATTTTGTGTGTGATATACCATTTTCCCATATATAACATTTATCAATGTATAAAAAGCTATAACATTTTGATGGACACTAATGTAATTCTGATGTCAACATCAGAGGTACACAAATGCAAAGTATGAACATATAATGTAATTATTAACGTACGGTACAAGTAGAATACAATTAAGATGTTACATGATGTCACAAATATGCAAGCTAGATTATATTTACTTGAATGTTTATTACCATATATAATAATGATTTTGCACAGTCTGAGATTTATGGTTTGACAAGAAGGATAGTTGAATAATTGCTAAGGTTTTTTTTATGAATTCAGAAAATTCACAGTATTTACTGACTTTCTCAGGCAATAATATGTAGGGTAGTGTGTAGTGTATGTATATATGTACAGGTATATAGTTTGATACACATAATACAGTAGAAATAAATATTATTTTTTTTCTCTGTTTAAAGAGCAGGAATTCGTCATAACATTATCGAGATGAAATGAATCACTACGAAGATGTAAATAAATACTTTAATTTTCATTATGATGTGCTAACATAATATGAAACAACATTTTATTGAATTTATAGCTATAAAACCATTCTCTAGCTACATTCATTAATGTTTCAACATTTCAAACCACTATTTATAACTAGTACTAAAACAATACAACTAATGTTATTTAGCTGGTTTTGTATTTTTGATTATCATAGTAAACATTTTCTCGGTAGGGGGCTTAATTTGTTGGCTGACGATGAACCCTTCTGAAGGAAAAGTTGAGGAAAACTTCAAGACTGTAATGGCGGACTTAACAAATAGTGGGAAGTGGAAAATGTTTCAAGAGCCTATTCGTACAGAAGAGTTTTTTCAAAAAGAGGCAACTATGTTTTATGTTATGCAAAAATTGTAACTCAAATTTTCTAGCTTTCTCAAAACAACTGTTTTAATAATATAAGTTGTAAGATTACCAGTTTCATAAATGCTTTTACAACAAAGAAAACATAGAAGTTACAATAAAAATATGATATAACGTGAAATAAAAGCGTTGTTTTTTTCAGTATGATATTTCTTATATTGACAGAATCTTTTTCTGATAAAATTAGTTGTGGGTTCTGTTCTGGTGAAGATTACCAGTTAAGCATGTTCTTTAAAAATGGTATTATCTTCAAGCTGTTTTCGGATTATATTTAACGTTTCAAAGGTTGCTACCTTACTTAATAGATTGAATACACCGAAAGTGATCATTGTACACTCCTGTAGCAATTGGAAGAACTGTTAATTTAATCCTTTCACATCAAGCAAATAAGATACCTTTATTTAAGTATATTGTGGTGATTTTTTCGTGCAGATGTTCTGCAAGTAATTAATGGCATATTTGAGAAAAAGTTTTAAAGTTGCTCTTATCTCCTAGCTCAGACAAAGGTTGCCTACCACAACGAATGTTCTCTAAAGGTTATACTTGCTTGACCCGTTTTCTGTGCCATGCCCTTTTGAAGTGAAGTAATACTCATTTTGAGCGTCGATAAAAAGACATTTAGAAGTTACTATGAATTGGGAATTCATCTTCCTTGCATATCTTTAATGGGAATGATCATTGTGAGATGTAAAACTAAAACTTTGTTGGGACTTGAAAGTGCTTTTGTATTTAACTCTCTCGTTACAGTAAAATTTATAAACCATTATCATAGAAGAGGATTTTATAAGATAAAATAATGTATAGAATAACAGTGGAAAAGAAGAATCTGCATATGAGATGAGAACATGTTCGTAAAGTGTAAAAAACACTAGGTGGGATCTTCTTCTGGAGTAAGAGCTTTACTCAGCCATGTTGAGCTCCGTGCATGTTCGTAGTTTATCCTTATTACTAAGAGGTTGACAATTGGGTAGCCTGATGCTAAGCGACCTCCACTGATTACCTTTCATATGGAGAAAAATAGGGCAGGAAAGATGGGCCATGCTGGCGCCAATCAGGACGGACTCCTGAGAATCAGGGGTGGTCTCCATGGGATTCCTAGGTATTTGATAACTATCCCATGGAGGGAGTTTTTCAGGTACTGGTTAGAGTTACCAACGGCTCAGAAGAGAAGTAGTGGACAAAGCTTGCTGCAAAGTGACTTAACATACTCAGGTGGAGCAGCCAGCAATTTTCCCATAATCCAAAAGGTTCTTGGGTCGGTAAGGAACACTGATATACTCTGAAAGGTTTACCAGTGGCTGCAGTAGACATAGAATGAAGCACCTACTTCCGTTTCATGGTGTTCTCCAGCAAACGTCGTCTAAGGACACCATATTTCTAAGTACGTGCATATTTCTTCTCTTCTGGAGAAGGATAATGGCACCCACCAAATGCTGATGGCATATCAGCCACACAGCGAATGAAAAGCTGTCAGTAACTACATATGTACCGTTATTTAATTATGGTGGTTTTGTGATAAAAGACGATAATGAAAGAGGATTTAGACCATTTACTCAACATTTCAACCAAATTGTTGTTTGTAGTGAGTAAGCTTAAAAACAGATGATGCAACTTATGATGGTTTACTGATGATTCTAAATGGCCTACTACTTGACAATCTAGAGCCATCGAACAAGGAGATTTAATGACAGAGAAATGATTGTCAATAAGCTGTGACATAAATTCAATCCTGTGGAGAACCGAGCATTCCATAAGGACAATTTCAAAGCTCGAATGTGTTTGGTCCATGAAAACTTACCCATTTGCAGAGATAATCATAGGAGATACATAACAAGGCATAACTGAACACGTCTCCCGGTGATCATGATGAGACACTCTTCAACAAATTTGTCCAGGATCGGTCAAATGAATTCACGTCGTACCATAGATATATCTCATCTCTGAAAGAAACAGAACTTGTGGTAATCCAGCATGAATTAATAATATCAAACCTTATGCTTTAACAGAAGAATAAACTGGAAGCAATAGTAACTGCAGGAATACATGATAATGTACTCC